AGACAGCCGGTCGAGCCGCTAACTACTTGAGGACACGCCCTGATTGGTCCAATCTCGTGCACGCATGCACTGGCTTTGCTTGTCCTAAAAACGCTAAGAGATCTCCATTCTGGTGCGCTCGCCATTATGTTCTCCTCTGGGGATTTGAACGAGGCGTGGTTGGACGGCAAACATCTACCCTCGTGGCAAGGTTATCACCTTACCCCCTACTGTCCCTTATAAGGCTTTGCAAATTAATAGATGATCCGATGCAATAAACCAATTCAATGAGTACAGAGTAGAGTTCACTAACTAACTAACTAACAACAGAGATTTGGAAGAATTATGAGATAGAGTTCATTGGATGGATTGCCCGACCCTAAATTTTAACTGAAACGGAGAGGCAAGGGCTCAACCCGAAAACAGACAGTGCTTCGTGAAAGTCCCAGACGTAAATATGTCATTAGAAAATTCATGAAAGCAGACGACAGAGGCTTCTGTCGGTCTATTTCTCTACCCTACAGCCAGCATAGTAATATTGCAGAAAATAATGTGAGGACAAAAGGTAAAAATAACAGATAAAACGAAAACGTTGAAAACAGAAACGTACTAGAAGTGGTCCCATCAATGCCCTCCTCGTTTTCGACTATGACCTCAGTCTCCTCGTTCGCACCCTCTCCATGTGTGTCCTTCCCTTCGCCTTGGCCGGTCTCTTCCTCCTCTTCCTCATCTTCCATTGGGAGATCGATGTTGATGGCTTCCGGATTTTGCGAGACCTCCGCCTTGGCTGGCGCCTTCGTGGTGCCCGGAAGCGTGTCGGGTTGCCGAATGCCAGCTGACTTGAATATAATCATGGGCTTGCCGCTGGCATTTACCGACCCCTCAGCGGTAACCTCCGACTCCACGGTCTGCATAGCATCTGCCGCTAACAAATAAATAGTATGTACATTAAACTACCTACTCACAAACCGATAGTAGGTTACTAATGTGCATTTAAATTGCTGACTCACGCTGTAATTCTTCGGCTGCCAAATGACTCGCCATGAAACTGACTTTGGTGTTGTAGGTAGCCTGTACACTACGCCTGATACGGAGCATTTCACGCAGAGTATCCTCGTTGCCGTGTGCAACTTCGAATTCCTTCCAAATCCTCCAGAACTCTGGTTCAGCCTGTGAAGAGGATAGGATTAAAACAAAGGTGTATTTTTACTACGTCGCAAGTAAAGACAGGTCTCTCACAGGTGGCCAAAAACCACGGCGCCAACTCACTCTAGGATCACACATCTGTGCACTGTAGGCGTAGATTGCACGCGCGCGAT